ATTATAATGTTATAGAATCTCAAAAGATTAAGGAGATGATCATGGGCCTTCTTCTCTCTCTTCCCCCTCAACCCCATGAGGGGTATCCAACATTTTTTTTCTTTTCTGCTACATATTGGAAGAGTAAGAAAGGTCTTGGGTCAAATATTAAATACACAAATATCAATGAATGCCAATGAACAAAATAAAAGGTCTGTGCATACTTTTTGGGATATTGACACCACGAATAAGCAAAACAGTCCTCAAATAATCTGCATGTGGCCTAGATGATCTCATTAGTCCCAGGAATTTAAATATTAACTGTTTTCTGATTACTCCCAAATGTACAGATGCTCCTTGGGTCAGGATGAAGCTATATCCTGATAAACTCATCATAAAGTCAAAAAATGGTTAGGTTGAACCATGGTAAACTGGGTACTATCTGTTCATCCCTAACACAAACCTCTCCTCCAAACTCCAAAATCATATACATTCAACTATTTGCCTTCTCCACTGGAGACTCAGTCATCTGAAACTTACCAAATCAGAACTATACTCCCCATTCCAACCTCCACTCCCTCCACCAAATCCACCCTGTCCTAAGTATTTCTTCTCCTTCTTCTTTTTTGTTGAGACAAAGTCTCACTATGTTGCCCTGGGCAACATTTATTTGGTATAATTTTATACCTAAATCAAACATTTATTTGTTTTAGGTATAGAATTATCACACAATTTGCTGTTTTGGGGGTCGGTTTTTTTTTGAGACTCTTAACTCTGTCGCCCTGGGTGGAGTGCCATGGCATCTTAGCTCATAGCAACTTCAAACTCTTAGGCTCAAGTGATACTCTTGGGCTCAAGTGATCCTCTTGCCTCAACCTCCTCAGTAGCTGGGACTGCAGGTGTGTGCCACCACACCTGGCTAGATTTTCTATTTTAGTGTAGATGGGGCCTCACCCTGTTCAGGCTAGTCTCAAACTCCTGAGCTCAAGCAATCCACTCACCTTGGCCTCCCAGAGAGGTAGGATTACAGCTGTGAAAATTGAACAGAATGTGTATGTATATATATATATATATATTTTGAGACAAGAGTCTCAAGCTGTCCCCCTGGGTAGAGTGCTGTGGCATCTCAGCTCACAGCAACCTCCAACTCCTGGGCTCAAGTGAGTCTCCTGCCTCTGCCTCCCAAGTAGCTGGGACCACAGGCGCCCACCACAACGCCCGGCTATTTTTTGGTTGCGGCCGTCATTGTTGTTTGGCGGGCCCAGGCTGGATTCGAACCCGCCACCTTGGGTGTATGTGGCTGGCACCTTAGCCACTTGAGCCACAGGCGCCGAGCTGAACAGAATGTATATATTATTTACCATACACTCCTGCCTCCACACATGTATAGCCTCACCCATCATTCAATCTCCCAAAAAAGTGGTACATTTGGCTCGGCGCCTGTGGCTTAATCGGCTAAGGCACCAGCCACATACACCTAAGGTGGCGGGTTCAAATCCAGCCCCGGACCCACCAAACAACAATGACAGCTGCAACCAAAAAATAGCCAGGCGTTGTGGCGGACGCCTGTAGTCCCAGCTACTTGGGAGGCAGAGGCAGGAGACTCACTTGAGCCCAGGAGTTGGAGGTTGCTGTGAGCTGTGATGCCACAGGCACTCTACCCAGGGGGAGCGCTTGGGGTTCTCAAAAAAAAAAAAAAAAAGTGGTACATTTGTTAAATAAATATGCTATTTATTTTCTCATTCACTCCAATATTAATTGAGTACCTACTACGTGCTATTGTGAATAAATAGATATTAGAAAAGAAACTGCAACTAATCCTTAAAGTTAAAAACAATTCAAGAATCAAACTAAAACATAACGAGAGAAAGAAAAGGAGAGAACAGACTACTTAAAGATCAACTGTCTTTCTCTTTGTTAGATCTCCAACAGCATGTGACATCCCTTTGAGGCCTCTGCTCCCATCAGAAAATCATCAAAATAAGATGCTGTGTTCTCAAGTCCTAGGCGAGCCTCATGAAAATTAAGCTGGTGACCAGCCTGAGCCAAAGCAAGACCTTGTCTCTAAAAACAGCTGGGCCTTGTGGTGGGTGCCTGTAGTCTCAGCCACTCGGGAGGCTGAGGCAAGAGGATCACTTAAGCCAAAAGTTTGAAATTGCTGTGAGCTATGATGGCACAGCACTCTAATTAAGGGTGACAAAGTGAGACTCTGTCGCAAAAAAAGAAATAAGAAAGGAAAAAAAAAGAAAATTAAGCTGGTGAAACCAATGGCACAAATATTGGGTATACTAAATCTTGACAATAAAGATGTAAGAGAATAGAATGTTAGAATGATAAAGAATGTTTTTAAAAATCTATTACAAAGGGCCAAGAGTGGGGGCTTAGGCCTGTAATCCTAGAACTCTGGGAGGCTGAGGTGGGTGGACTACTTGAGCTTGCAAGTTCGAGACCAGCCTGAGCCAGAGCAAGAGCCTGTCTCTAAAAACAGCCAGGCATTGTGGTGGGTACATGTAGTCCTAGCTACTCGGCAGGCTGAGGTAAGTGAATTGCTTGAGCTCAAGAGTTTGAGGTTGCTGTGAGCTATGACCCCCATTGCATTCTATGAGGGCAACAAAATGAAACTGTATCAAGAAAAAAAAATTACAAAATAATTTGCTCATGAGAATCAAATAAAAAATAAGAGTAAACCAAACTTGCATATGCTTCTAGGATAAAGAGCTTTCTTTCTAATCATTCATTCAATCATTCATTTCTTCATCCATTTGTCCACTATTCATTTGGCTAGTTGGCCATCAAACGTCATTAAGTGTCTGTAATACATAGACCACTCTGCTAAATAGTATAAAAAGATGACAAATGTAGGTCACTCTTAAGTAACCTATAGTTCAGTACTGGAAGGAAAATATAATTATAAGGCAGAAAAGTTACTTTCTGCACAAGGATTAGGGAGGGTTTTGTGGAGGACAAGTGTTATCAACTGGGCCTTAACACACAAAAGATGTGGACATATAGAATGTGATGAGAGCACAGGGCAGGGTGGAGGCAGTGGGTTGAATATTATAAAGAGGCTTCATGGAATCCAGGCTTTATCCCGAAGTCTAGAATTCTGTTAATAATTCAACCCATTTAACTCATAAACATTGACTACCTCCCATTTCTAAACCATAAAATGGAGATTATCACCCTCCTCCTTGACTGGGATTTTGTGAAGAGTAATTAATGTTTACAAAGGAACAATATACCCAGAGGCAGTTTCTTTTTCCAAATTTTAAAAGCTAGAAAAGAATTTAAAAGGTAGAAGAATGTGTAATTCTACACATTACATTTTCTCCTTAAAAAATCCTGCATGAGCCAAAACTTTTTCTAGTCAATCTGATGAATAAATAACTAAAATAATTTCTCAAAGTATCACAGAATTCTTTAGCCTCCTTATCTGTGTCCTAATATTACTGAGCTAACAACACAGGCAAGACACAGCAACTGCCTGGGAGGTTAAGTAGTAAGACAGAAAATACACTTAGGTGAAGTAGCTTGATGCCACCAGACTACAAGCCAATTCTTAACATAAAAAAAGTAATTTTCAGACACTGGAAGGTACATTACAATGGATATAGTTCACTTCATACACATGAGGGAACTGAGGCTGGGAGAGAAAGAGGACTGACCAAGATTGCCTAGTTAATGGCAACCTAGAACTGCTATTTCTGGTCCAACATTGTTTTAAGTCAGAGAGGCTAAAGCTCCTAAGAAGAATCCTACATATAGAACTATTCTATATAGCTTTCACAGTATTTTTAAAATTACTCTGAATTTCTCAGGCAAGAGATACTACAGAGACTGATTTGTCACAGGCACCAACCATTTTCTAAGTCTTATAGGCCTAATTCATATAGTCATGCTACCTGCCTGGCTCTGGTAGGCAAATGAGTTCTGACTCTTGCTTCATGCTTTGCTGCTTTCTCTAATAGTACATGCTGAATTTATTTAATCAAAGAAGTTATTTCCCTATCATCCCAAATCTCAAAGGCCAAGGATTTTTATTCCCCCTTAAATATTAGAGTAATATTACCTCAAATATTTGAGTAATACTTCCATATTATATTCTTTCTATGAGACATTTTATAAAAACACAGAGATAATCAATTTGCTCAGGATTACAAAGCCAATTACCAAGGGTGTCAGTTCTAGTCCTCAGAATTCCTGACTCAGTTCAGAAGTCTTTTTTTTTTTTTTTCTGAGACAAGAGTCTCACTTTCTTGCTCTGGTAGACTGCCATGGCATCATAGCTCATGGCAACCTCAAACTCTTGGGCTTGCAATTCTCTTGCCTCAGTCTCCTAAGTAGCTGGGACTACAGGTGCCCGCCACTACACCCAGCTATTTTTTAGAAACAGGGTCTCACTCTTGCTCAGGCTGGTCTGGAATTCATGAGCTCAAGCAATCCACCTGCCTCGGCCTCCCAGAGTGCTGGGATTACAGGTGTGAGCCACCATGCCTGGCCTGAGAATGTAATTTTTAATGCTTACAAAAATGATGTTTAGGGCATGTTCATTACTATTACTGATGGAAGTGTAAACTAGTATCTTTCCAGAAACTAATTACGCATATTTATCGAAAACCTTTAAAAAGTTCTCAGCCTTTTTCCTAGTAAATTCATTTTGATGTGCATGTTTCTTTCTCCTACTCCCATCACCAGCAAATGAATCCAACAAACTTGAAATCAACAAGGATTTATAATTGGCCTTAAGATGGTATCCTGGAACTTTTCTTCATCCACTATATATTCAAGATAGCATTCTATTCTCATATAGACCTTTACAATACAAGCTTTTTAATAAATACGTTCCCAGCTAGAAGTCTACCAAATCATCATCAAAGATAATTTTTAAAACTTTTTTTTTTTTTTTTGGCCGTGGCTGGGTTTGAACCTCTGGCATATGGGGCTGGCGCCTTACCCTTCTGAGCCACAGGCGCTGCCCTGATTTAATTTTTTAATGGCCAAATTAAATACCTATGACTAGGATCCTTTCATGTTTCATAAGCATGATGACTATGTTTTCTTGCTATTGTATAAGATGTGCCTCCCTCAAACTTCGTTATAATATTGGCACATTACTTGTCTAATGCTGAAAAAGAAAGAAAAATAATTCTTATGCCTACTGACAAGCTGAATTCTGGTATAACAAAAAAAGGTACCTATTAAAAACTTAATTTGGCATTAATTCATAGAATTAATAATAAATTCAAGGAATATAAATCTTAAATGATGAATACTTTTATATTTTGTGCATATCTTTGTAATTCAAACATATGCCAAATCCTATGTTAGTTGTTATTTTATTGGGTGTCTACCATGTATTGAAGACAAAGAAGAAAGAATGAATTTGAAAAGAAACAGAAAACATATTTTCCGATTATTTTTCAGAAAGGTTTTAGCTACTTTCTATAGTAGTCAAGGAAACAGATTAGTGTCGACTATACATGACATACTATAATATCCAAATATTAGTTATGCTGAATATATGTGTAGAAATTTTTTGTTTATGTACAACAGACTGAAAAAACTATACATTAGAGTTGTTTTTTGTTTTTTTTTACTTTATCGCCCTCTATAGAGTGCCATAGCATCACAGCTCACAGCAACCTCCAACTCCTGGGCTTAGGCGATTCTCTTGTCTCAGCCTCCCAAGTAGCTGGGACTACAGGCACCTGTCACAACGCCCAGCTATTTTTTTTGTTGCAGTTTGGCTGGGGCTGGGTTCGAACCTGCTACCCTTGGTATATGGGGCTGGCGCCCAACTCACTGAGCCACAGGAGCTACTCACATTAGAGATATTTTAAGTTCTCCTAAGAGTAAACTATGAAAATGTCATCCTGTTGATTAGGATTCACCCATAACAGGATATCAATATTTAAATCATAGAGGATGAGTGAACTCTTTTCCTGCTCCTGTTCCAGACTAACTCCTTATTCAATGTTCTAGACACCCTCTTCTGAGATGTAGCCCCATCAATTATCCCCTTTCTCACTTTTATCTTCTGTCTCCTCTTCTATACCTATCCCTTTGGCTCATTTCCCTCAACATAACAACATTTTAAATCTATTATATACTCTAAAACCAGAAAAATCTTTTGACTCTGCATTCCTCCATCTAAATACAATCATTTTTCTCCCTCCATTTTCAGGAACACTTCTGAAAAGGAAGACTCCATATTTTCCTGTTTCTATTTGATACATTCATTTCTTCTTTCACCTACTACAATCAGGCTTTTCTGTCCCACTTCTTCACTGAAACTACTCTAGCCAAAGTGACTGGTGGCTTCCACATTACTAATTCATAACACTTTTCTTGAGGCCGGGAGCGGTAGTTCACATCTGTAATCCCAACACTCTGAGAAGCCAAGGCAGGCGGACCATTCACTCCTTTTTAAAACTTTTTGCAAATACTATTCACCACTGGCCTTCCACAAACTGGTTTCTGATTAGTCCTTTTCATTCTCTTTGTCACATATTCCTATTCTACTTTTATCCCTTAAATACAGTGGTTCCCTGGGTTCTGCCCTTGGCATCTATCTTTGTGTCCATTCCTTTAGTGATCTCATCTCTCTCAAAATTTCAACAAAAACTGACAAATTTACATCTAAGTTTTCATCCCCAGGCCTCTTGGATATCCTACTGACAAAAAGGAACATATTTACGTGAATATTCCACAAGATTACACACTCAACATGTCCACAACTGAACTCATATTCTGAACTTTACTTCTTATGTTTTTATCAATGGTATCCACCATTTACTCAGCCCAACCAACCAACCTCAAAATCTTTGATAGTTAACTAGTCTTCTCCTTCTTCCTCACCTCATAATCCATCATCAGGCCTCCACCATTTTACTTTTTATAGATTTCTCTAATCTATCTCATCCTCTCCATCCTAACCACAATTGCCTTAGTTTGAACTTTTGTTAGTTTTAGGATTTGGCAACTGCAATGATCCATTCTAAACTATAAATATTATCCTATTTCTCTACATAAAATCTTTCATGTTCCTCATTGCTAAAAGCACTGTTTCCTGGGTCAGAGTTGTCTGAGGATGCTTGTAAAAATGCATATTCCTGGGCTAAGTTTTTCCATACTTTCCAAGGGATTCTGATGCAATCTAAGGCTTGAAAATATAGGCTAAAGTTTAGGTCTGAATTTCTCACTGAGGCATAAAAGGCCCTCCCCTCTAGGACTTGGCTCCTATCTTACTTAGCCCTCGAATCTGGCATCTCCCTCTTTTTCTCATTAAGTTCTATTATCTAGAATATTTACTTTATCTACATTTGAATTAAAGTATCTTTGGCTTCCATGGCTTTACTGCTCTCCACTTTTTTCAACAAGTCTTACTTAACCTTTAGGGAATTATGAAAGAAGGCTCACCATTAACCTGATGTTTTTCTACTAAGCAAGCACTAACTTTCAACTCCTAGTTAACCAAAGATTGGCCTTTCCTGCCATGGTATCGTGGTCTTTTCCCTGGTTCCTATCATAGACCTCCTTACATCGTTGGATTTTTCCTGAGCGATAAGGGTGATAGGAGCATCTTTTATTCTAAAGAAGTATTTCTTGGCTGGCCCTTAGATAGCTTTACGATGGGGACTGGTCACCAGAAGGACCAAATTTTGATTGGAAAGCAAACTGACAACTTTCAGAATAGGAAAAGATATTTTCATGCTACAAATCTGACAAGAGGCTAATGACCAGAGTCTATAGGGAACTCAAGCAAATCAACAAGGAAAGAGCAAACAACCCAATTAATCACTGGGCAAGAGAAATGAACAGAACCTTCTCCCAAGAAGACAGAGGAATGGCCAAGAAACATATGAAAAAGGGCTCTTCGTCCCTATGCATCAGAGAAATGCAAATGAAAACCAACTTCAGATACAACCTAACCCCAGTGAAAACAGCCTACATAACAAAGTCCCAAAGCTGCAGTTGATGTTGATAAGGGTGCAGAAGAAGGGAACATTTTACACTGTTGGTAGGATTGCAAACTAATACAGCCTTTTTAGAAGGAAGTATGGAGAATCCTTAAAGAGCTAAGAGTAGGCCTTCCATTTGATCCTACACTCCCATTACTAGGTATCTACCCAGAAGAAAAAAATCATTTTACCATAAGGAATTCATACTCGAATGTTTATAGCAGCTCAATTCACAATCACAAAGATGTAGAAACAACTCAAGTGCCTATAAACCCATGAATGGATTAATAAACTGCGGTATATGTATACCATGAAATACTATTCAGCTATAGAAAGATGGAATTTTACATCTTTTGTATTTACCTGGATAGAGTTGAAGAACGTTCTTCTTAGTAAAGTATCTCAAGAATGGAAAAACAGGGTGGCACCTGTGGCTCAGTGAATAGGGCACCGGCCCCATATACCAAGGATGGTGGGTTCGAACCCAGCCTGGGCCAAACTGCAACAAAAATATAACCAGGTGTTGTGGCAGGTGCCTATAGTCCCACCTACTCGGGAGCCTGAGGCAAGGGAATCGCCTAAGCCAAAGAGCTGAAGGCTGCTGTGAGCTGTGACACCACAGGACTCTATCAAGGGTGACAAAGTGAGACTCTGTCTCTAAAAAAGAAAAAAAAAAGAATGGAAAAATAAACATCCCATGTATGCAATACTAATTTCAAACTAGTAGATGAACAACAACAGGCCCACATGAGAGGAAAAACACAAATTCACGAAGAGGGGTGGGAAGGGGAGGAAAGGGCTCCGTAAGCTCCCACCTAAAGGATACAATGTAGGAGTATATATATGATGTCCTTCTTGGGTGAAGGACTCAAATATAAGTGGGACATTTCCTAACAAATGCAAACAATGTAATCTAATTGTATGTACCCTTATACTAATCCAAATTTTTTTTTTTAAAAAGAAGCTTGGAACTTTCAGCCTGAGATTGAGAGATCAAGTTAATTACTGATGGCCAATGATTTAATCACATCTGCCTAGCTAATGAAACCTCAATAAAAAAACCTTAAGTGAAGGAGTTCAGAGAGCTTCCCAGTTGGTGAACACATCAAGGTGCTGGGAAGGTAGCGTATTTGAAAGAGGGCATGGAACTTCCAACAGAAATGGTTACTTGAGGAATTGATACTTGCCCCTGATGTCTGAAATGAGGGCGATCTGTGGAACTGAGCCCTTAAACCTGTGAACTCTGGGTAGTGTCAGAAATGAATTGACTTGTAGGACATTCATCTGCTATTCATAATCAACGAATTGATTGCTGTCAGCCAGAAAAAACACTTCTTACTTGCCTTTAGAAGCATGTGCATTTTCTGAAGTACATGAAACTTATGGTTAAGAAAATAAGTAAAATATTTTCATTTTCTCTTTAAGAATACACTGCAAACATTAAAGGCAATTTATATTCTTTTCTTTTTTTCTTTTGAGACAGAGTCTCATTGTGTTGCCCTTGGTAGAGTGCTGTACTGTCACAGCTCACAGCAACCTCAAACTCTTGGGCTTAAGCAATTCTCTTGCCTCAGCCTCCCAAGAAGCTGGGACTACAGGTGCCTGCCACAACACCCTGCTATTCTTTGTTGCAGCAGTCAGTGTTGTTCAGCTGGCCGGGGCTGGATTTGAACCTATCACCTTTGGTATATGTGGCTAGCACCAAAACTACTGTGCTACAGGCGCCAAGCCAGGGATTTTTATTGACATTATTTTCTTTTTTCCAAGAGAGGATCTCACTATGTTGCCCAGGTTAGAGTACAGTGGCTATTCACAGGCACTATCCCAGCACTACATCCCAAGCTCCATCCCAAGCATCATCCCTTGGAACTTTTAGACTCAAGTGATCCTTCCACCTCAGCCTCCTTAGTAACTGGGACTACAAGCATATACCACAGCATCCAGCTCTATTGACATTTTCAGAAATAATCTATAAAGTACTCCATTTGACATAAATTGCTAATAGGAAATAAATTCATTAAGAGAAAATGTAACAATGCCTTTCATAGTATTAAAGTGGATTAAATTCTAATTCTACAGCTTCCTAAAATGAAAGCCTATGTCCATATATAGTTTACCACCATCCTCCAAACTTATATCAATAGATATTAGAGTTTTAATACCT